TGGAAAGAACATATTTCATACTTAAAACTAAAATTAGTAAAATACATCCGTATATTCTACATGCTCAGAAGCGTATGTTATATACAGCTTTTTAGATCAATTTATTTCGCATTCATAAATTCAAAAATTGAATATGGCATAGAAATCTGGGGTGGGACATATTTTACCACATTAAAACCAATAATCACACTACAAAAAGCCTTCGTCAGAATAATACTAAACGAAACAAAAACCAAACCTTCTCTACCTCTTTTCCAAAGTTTAAACATTTTGCCCTTTAGAAACTTATACGTTTTTAAGGTTTTAAGAATTTTTTTTAATAGATGTGATACACACAGAATGAACCAGGGCTATATCACATTAAGGAACGTGGGTAAAATGTATGTTCCGCGACCCAATTTATCCCACTTCAAAAAATATTTTTTGTACTTAGCACCAACGTTTTATAATCTACTTCCAAACTATATTAAAGAGTGTAAAAACAAGAACCAATTCAATAAAATTATACGTAACTACTTACTTAACCATAATGACATTAATCAATTTTTTACTACTCTAATATAAAGACATAGTGTTTTCCTTTGATAGTTATAGTCTTAGTTATAGTTTGTTAAACAATGCCTAATACTTTAATAAGACGTAAGAATTAAGGAAGTTAATATTGTTTCATGTGAAGAAGCCACGTTTATGTTATTTTTAAATATTGTGTAGTATAACTGTGGTACTGATCCGGCCAGGCACTCTCTACCCTACTACTGAGTTTGTGTAAGATTCAAATATAGATCCCGCACAGGTTTATAACCTCAGGGCTTTATTGCTCTATGATTCTCTTTATTATTATATCCCATGTTTTAAACAGTTAAGGTTTAAAAAATTTTGTGTAAGTTCATAGGCATATTTGTATAAATAGTATAACCAAAATTGTGTTCAATACTATTGTGATTGTTTACAATAACTGTATATTATGTACATTGAGCAATAAAGAATTTTTCTATTCTATTCTATTCTGTTGCCACACTTCAACTACTGCAACACTGTGGTTAATGATATGACTGTGGTTTTGGCAACAAAAATTACAACGTGTACAAAATTATTGTGTTCGATTCTTGTTCAATCTTAGGCGTGATGACCATGTCACACCCTATTACATAAATGAATCAATTTTGAAATTAGAAGACATCAGAAAAATACGAATACTTTCCATTACTCATTCGGCCATCAATCTTGGAATTCCAAATTATCTTGCAAAGAATTTTAAATTTTTGAATGAAAGAGGCGCAAGGGATACCCGCTCTGGCTCGTCCACGCTTCGCATTCCTCATCACAGAACAACTGTTTATAACAAATCATTTTTAGTAACAGCATGCCGCCTATGGAACTCCATACCTTTTCATATTAAATCTATAGAAAACCGATCCCGGCTGATGGTGACGCTGAAAGGATATTACCTTGACCGGATGGCTGTGGCTTGGCGGGATGGCATGCGTTAGGCCTAGATGCAACAGAGGGTGTACGTGTGTGTGTGTGTGTGAATGTATGTTAGGGAAGATTAAATAAATTATGATATTTTATAACTTGTTTTGTTACAAACTGTGTTGTATTTTTTATTATTATTTTGTTGTTATCATTAGTTTTTTAGAGGTTAACTGTAAGAAAGGCGAAAGGACCATGAGGTCCTAAGTTCGCCTCAATAAAGAAGGATTTTCATTTCATTTCATTCATTTCCCTCCCCCCATTAGCCCAGATAATTGAGGTTCTACTATATCCTGTTAGTCCGGCCATCTTGTAGTCCGGCCAGTGGTCCGGTCCCGAGGTGGCTGAATCAAATTCCTTTTATTTATCAACATAACTAAATGTGCTAAAGGAAATATCACTTATCGAGGCACAAAAGCCTTTCCTTATCTCCTGCAAAGTTATCCCGACCCATAGTTTACTGTCTAAGCTATGTAAAACATTCACCAATAATGCACTTTATATTGGATTTGTTTTGGTTTTCTCAAACAAATAACTAAAAACTACACAATAACTATATACAAATTAAACACTACATGTACTAACTTGAGAAATAACTTTGTTCCAAATCAAACAACAGCGCAAACGTAATTTGTCGTCAGTCACAGCCTCATTGCGCTCAAAGAAACAAAGAATTGAAATTTAAATTGTTTCATAAAGATTGAAAAATAAAACATGTATTTTATTTAGATTATTATGATGAAGATGTAAACAAATATTATTCTTGTTATAAACTTCTTACAAAAGACATGTATTTAAATAAAATGTTATTGATTTAGTTCATTCCTAATTATTATTGTCACGAAAACTATCGACGGTCGTGATACATGGCGCAGCGTGATGTAAACCTACAGATCCAACAAGAAATTGAAGAGAACAGACTTCAAAGAAATCAAATCCATGTCAAGCCTCCAGACAATTTTTCCTTCAACCCCTATGATTGGAGTGCGTGGAAGAAACGCTTTGAAAGATACAGGTCAGCGATCTACATAAAGCACCTGGGAAAAGGCAAGTTGATATTCTTTGCTACTGTACGGGGGATAAGGCTGAGGAAATATTTGATTCCTTTAAGCCCCGAGTTTACAAGCTACACGCCGGCTTTTTTACACGCAGCTAGTAAAATAGCTCAGTGTGAACGAAGTACTCGCTCAAAAGCTCTTGAAAAAGTTGACGCTGCCGCTACTTTACACGCCAACTCGCCAGCTTTTGAGCGAGTAGGCGTGTAAAGTAGCCCAGTGTGAACACAGTTGCTTGTGCTTGTGCGCATGTTACACAAAGATGTTGGAGGATTTGGTTCGAGCCAGCTACTTAGCGAGTGGAAAAAGCATTGTGTGAACGACTACAAGCGCACTCGCCGACGTCTTTCTACACGTTTGCGAGTTGCCGAGTGGACAAGCTCCGTGTGAACAAATACAAGCACACTCGCCAACTCGCCGGCTTCTTACACGCCGGCGAGTAGCTTGTAAACTTGCACCGTGTGAACGAGGCTTTAATCTAATCCCTGACGAGTTGGAGACTTATGAATTGATTATGGGGAAATTCGAAAACCATTTCCTTCCCAAAACAAACATAATTTATCAGCGTACTAAATTTCTTAGACGAAAACAGCGATCCTCAGAGTCTGCTGAAAACTTCATCACTGACTTACATACTCTTGCAAAACCATGCAACTGGGGGGATTTAAGGGATGAAATGAATGAAATGATTCTCATACAATTTATCGTTGGAATGAATGGTCAAAACCTTAGTGATCGCTTACAGTTACAAAGCTCACTAAAATTAGAATCTGCAGTTGATGCTCTTCGTAGTTCAGAGGCATTAGTTAGGCCAAAACTTGACCTAGCTGATCCCTTCGTTGATCGGGTAAAATTAAACACCACTTCCAAAAAGTCTTTTTGTAACAAAACTGTTTCTAATAACCATGGAAAATCTAATTCAGGGAACCTATGTAAATGGTTTGGTAATACGCCATCTCATCGCCGAGGCTTGTGTCCTGCCAAAAATGTTCGGTGTAACAACTGTAAAGCAAACGGCCACTTTTATCAAGTTTGTTCTAAGCAAAAGGTTAATGAAGTCAGTAGTGAACCTCAGTTTTTTAATCAATCTTGTACAAATTCATCAAATTCTGAAGAATTCATAGGTAAAATTACCGAAAACAGTGCTCTCTAAACCCTGAATCTTGGGTAATTGACCTCAGGTTTAATGATTCTGACATTATTAAGTTTAAAATCAATACCGGAGCAGACGTTTCAGTTTTGCCAGCTAATATCAAGCTAAACAAAAAAGTTCCATTGGAACATACTTGTAAAAGACTCTCAGGACCGGATGGGACTCAGTTATCTGTATGAGGGATGGTAAATGTAAAGTTAGAGTATAAGAACAAATCTTGTTTCGAACGTTTTTATGTAGCAGGAAAATGTAAAACACCGCTCCTAGGTAAAACAGCCTTTGAAAAGCTTAACCTTCTACAAGTTGTCCGAAGTGTGCCTTCGACTTCGAGGAATTACAGAGAAAAGTACAAGAGAAATATGACTCCAGGCATGCTGCCAAATCTCTTGGAAGTTTGAAATCTGGGGACAGCGATATCTGACTTGGGAAAACCTGGAACGGTTGTAAAAACAGGAACTGAACCACGATCATATATTGTCAGGACTGATACAAAAGACCTAAGAAGAAACCGTTTCCATCTTCTACCATTTCCAGATAATTTAAAAAGTACACCCTCACCAGACAATGTGACAGAACGAAATTCAACAAGTGTGTGTACCAGAAGCCCAAAACCACGAGAGGACAACTCAAGTTACAAGACGAGACACGGACGTGAAGTACATCCTCCAAGGAAACTCGATCTTTAAGGAGGGGGATGTTTCATAAAGACTGCAAAATAAAACATATGTTTTATTTAGATTATTATGATGAGATGTAAACAAATATTGTTAGTGTTATAGACTTCTTACAAAAGACATGTTTAAATAAAGTCTTATTTAATTTAGTTCATTCCTGATTAAATTATTGTCACGACAACTATCACGGTCGTGATACATAAACAACTGACCTTTGACAGTAACGGAGCAAAATTCCCGGCAATCGATAATTTGAAGCCTTTGGAACATACCGACGAATTAACCAGCCACGGCATATATGCGTACTATACGAATAGTTGCTCTCAGCGACGCTCTCAATTTAAGGTAAAAACACATCGTCGCAGTCAGCACTAAAGAGGTTTAAAAAATCAATTTTCTTCATTTAATTTAAACTTCAAATTTAGATTGAAGTTATTCGATCTTAACTCTAACTCACCCAATTTGAAAAGAATCTTGATGGTCTGGCGCAATCCTAAATCAGGCCTACTTAAGCCTGATCAGCTAATAGCTTTTTTAAGGTGGATTATCAAAGTTCTACTGCACATTATTAATTTATATTTGTTTATTTCTTAACTTTATTTGCTTGAGTACCTACATACTAACCTTGTTCTGATTTGTTGGCAGGTGTAGATCTCCTCACCCTTTACCTAAATGTGCTGTACTTGGCTGCAAAAATCCTCGAAGGTATTCCTGCTCAAAAACTGGCGTCTCTCTTTGTAGCCTACAATGCTATAAGAAAAACCTCAGCCTAAACGACACTCGAAGCACATAAAATTGCTGTGATTTTAGTTTTTAAGACTACAATAAATTATTCACTAAAAGCAAATATTGTTTTCCTAGTTTAAACAATTTAACTAGTTGGCTGTTGTGCAATTCAGCACAGTACACAATAGTTATTTTCCTACAGTCGGACAAAGTTGGCTTCCTTGTACTGTTTATAGTACAGAAAGCTGCAAATTGCTGCATATTTATACTTTGTCATACGGTTTATACTTTGGCGCACATCAGGATTCCAACGAAACAACACAAAACAGTGTGGTTCTATTATGCACGTAATCCGTGTACGCTTGGAAATAGGTTGGCAACACTTAAAGATAATAATACTAAGAGCAGCTGATTTACTATTATAACTACCATACAACCTGTCATTTTGTGTTTATAGTTTCTGTATTTCTGAATTTTCTGGACTTTTCTTTTAAACGTTTTTAAAACATTCCTAAGATCTTAATAAACAAGAAAATACCTTTAAAGCATTTTTTTAGGCGCGGAAACCACTTCAAATTCCAAAAACATACGGAACTATTTTCTCAAGTCGTGGAGAACATTGCTTGCGGTGGAAAAATAGCGGAGCGATGGACCGGTGACTACTTTCTCTAGGGCACCTATTTGTGTTGCCAGCTGAACCAAAAAACATGTTGTATAATGTTTGAAAGACTAATTATTTATATGTTTTATAGTGACTGTAGGAAAAATATAATGTGTAAAACGAGTGCAAAAGGCCTTTGCTGCATTCGAGATCATTCGTAAACATTGCTCTCGTGTGCAGCAAAGTGCCACTTTGCTCACTAGTTAAACAAATAACTATTGTGTAACAATTGGGCGTTGCTGCACACCACATAAATATTTACGCACAAGCCGTATGCGAGTGTAGAAAGTTTCTCGAGTGCAGCAAAGGCGGTTTGCCCTTGTGTTACACATATATTTTTTTCCTACAGTTACTACAGGGTGCGGCAAAATAACCTCCCTATTTTTAAACGTAAATAAAAAAACAGGTTTTCAAGATAAAACAGTTTTTATTTTTTTTACTTATTCTCTAACAAGGGAAGTTTACTTTTACTTAATTTTAAAAAGAATGTCTGTTAAATGGTGACCATGGCTGTTGATACACTGCTGCAGACAAACTCTGAAGCTGTCGTGGACTGTCTCGAGCATGGCTTGAGGTATTCGCAGAATTTCCTGGCGTATTGCCTCTTTCAGGTCTGGCAGATTCCTGAGGCGACGTTTGAACACCTCGGCCTTCAAGTAACCCCATAAAAAAAATCACATGGAGTGAGATCTGGGGATCGTGCTGGGGATGTCCCCTCCCCAAGAAATTAATTAGCCAGGAAACATCTGCCGCAAAACGGTCATTGTTAACCGAGCAGTATGAGATGTGGCACCATCCTGCTGAAACCATACATGTTCAAAATACCTCTGGTTCAAAAAAATTCTGAATCATGTTAGTATACCTGTGTGAGTTCACAGTAAATGCAACGCCTTCTTCTTCGAAGAAATATGGTCCGATGATTTCAAGTCATGAAATAGCGCACCACACATTTACACGCTCGCTGTGAAGTGGTCTCTCGTCGATTTCATTGGGATTGTTTTGACTCCAATAACGATAATTTTGCTTATTAACGTTGCCAGACAAATGAAAATGTGCCTCGTCACTGAAAAACACAATGGCGTCTGGTGGAAGTCGTTCCAAGATGTACTTCCGTGCGACTGCCAATCTCGTTGAGACAGTTCTTGCACAAAAACCATCTTATAAGGATGAAAATGGAGGTCCATGTGAAGGATTCGACGAACACTATGGTCAGACATCCGAAGGTCGGCTGCGTGTTTGTGAGCTGATCGTTGAGGGGACTGCAACACTGACTGCCTGACAGCATTGATGTTTTCAGGTGTACGCGCACTACAATGTCTTCCACCCCGTTTTTTTACAACTGAACCAGTCTCCCTGAAGTTTTTTTACCCACAAAAGAATAGTCTTTCTGTCCGGTACAGATCCACGAAGAGAAATTTGATATCGCGTTCGAAAAGCACGCTGTGAGTATAACAGACTCATTGTTGCGAATGAACGCTTCAACCGCTAAGGCTTTGTGTTTCATTCGTCCACGCCATAATGGCGACTGGTGTCGACAGCCGCCATCCCCCCTATGTGTCTCCCACTACTCACCACGACGCAACAAAAATCGGGAGATTATTTTGCCGCAAACTGTATTACCATTGACTATACACAAAATAGACTTCCCATGTGATATAAAAATTTGTAGCCAAGAAAATAGATGAAGTTCAGGACCATCAAAAATAGTTTACCAGTGTATTGGGTTGAACATGAATTAAAACCAATGCAGTATCATAGCAAAAATTTGATTAATTTATCACTTAACACAGAACACTAGTGCACCTGTTGCTCAAATTTGAGCAATTACAAAGTATTACATGTGTTATTTCAAACACAAAGCTTCCTCAACTTTGTTTTATACTATACAACTCATTGAGCCGCACGGGTTCCCTAGTTTTTTATTTATTTTTTTTTTATTTTGGGTGTTGTTTTTAAATACAGAATCTTGTTTCTTTCATATATCTGATGTAAACTCCAAATAAGTTATAATTTCTTATATTTTCAATTCCATGTCAATTATGTCATGTTAACTTATCATGTAAACAAGACATATTTTTGTATAAGGAAGAGAAATAACTCTAAAGTATGAAAATAATGTTTCAAAGTTTATGAGCCTAACTTATAAAGGTTCAAGAACCTCATGTGTAAGGAATCTTTTGTGGTCGATTTCCAAATGACAATAAACTTAAATATATACACATTTTTCACTAATTTAAGTTTCATGACCAAACAAAAAATACATATTAAATTTTCATTACTTTAGGAGGTGGGAAGGGAACAGACTTTAGAGTCTGTCTTTGGAAGTGAAGACCAGGTATTTGTATAATATAAGTGTCAACAAAACGAGGATTTGGGCTATAGATATGGAGTTGTTCCACTACATAATTACATATTGACTTAGAGATTGTATCTATAAAATAAACACTAAATTCATAACTATGTAAAAGACTTGGGTACATACGGTAAATAATGTGAATTTTCTAAAAAACTAATATATATATTTAACAAGCACAAAATAATAATTAATGTAGGATAACATTATTATATAATATTGTAGAAAGTAGAGACAAGTATTACAATAGTTTTAAACAACATATTTTCTCAATGTTTTTGGAGTGTAATGTTTGAAAGCAATAAGTAAATATCACAATAAGTACCAAGTCCAGTCCACCACCAAAGAGGAAGTGAAGAATTTCATTACACCTTTCTTCTTTTTTCATCTTTCTCAATGTATTTGTAAAGAGATGCTTCAGCTTTTGGATCCACTTCTGACAAAACTCTGAAGCTTTCGTCATCTACGAAGCAAATTTCATGTTCATCCTGAAACAATACCATGCAAGGAAGCCTTGTTATTATATACTTGTAAACTAACTTGTATGTACTTACATTAGACTGTAGTGAGCTGACAGATCTATCAGCTGACAGATGTTTTAAATAGTTTTAGTTTTATTGAATTTTGGTTGCTAAGAAGAGAAAAATAAACAAAGAGACATTCTTTTAGGCTTCTCCAACAAAAGTGGTTCATTTTTATTTGCTCTAAACAATTAACCCTCCAAGTGTCCATTATAATGGTATTAATGTCCGCCCATTTATTGCGCGATTGCAGGGTTTTATTAAAATGTATCTTAGAAACTTAAAAACAATGTAAAGTATACTGTTTTATATATCATTTTCTTTGGGAAATTATGGGCTTCAATGTAATATATAAAACGTTACAAAACAAATTTCAACAATTTTTGTGAGGTTAACATTTCTCAAAAATTATAAAATAAACTAAAAAATTTATGTTTGCGCTCAATAAATTGTTATAATTCATAAGTCTACAAATATTTTAAAATAGCCACTTTGTTCTAAATTTTATAAGGATTACAGAAATATAATACAGGGTGGTAAAAAAAGTCCCTGGACAGTTGAATATTTTAAAAAATAATGCAGATAGAGCTATAATACTTGGTACAAAGTTACAGGGCATAAAACTCTATTTTAACACATATTCAGTGATCCAATAACCCTTCAGGGGGACGGCCCACAAGGAGTCAGAAGAAAATCTTAAACGGAAGCATAGGTCAATATGCACATCAAATTAAAGGTCTTTTTTTGTAGAATACAATGCCGCAAACCGCACTTCAAAAGGTTGATTCTGCGCAAAATGACAGTTGTTCAAAGATTCATTTAATTTACATTGCTATTATACGCTTACTCCTCAGGGGCACAGCCCTAAGAATCGGAAGAAAATTGTTAACGTAAGCATAGGTCGATATGCACATCAAATTAAAGGTCTTCACTAGTAGATTACGATGCCGTAAATTCAAGCTCAAAAGAATGCCTGAGTAAAAAATGGCAGTCGTTCAAAGATTTAAAATGGCGGATTCAAGAAATCTTTGAACATCTGCCATTTTGCGCAGGATCAACCTTTTGAAGTGCGGTTTGCGGCATTGTATTCTACAAAAAAAGACTTTTAATTTGATGTGCATATTGACCTATGCTTCCGTTTAAGATTTTCTTCTGACTCCTTGTGGGCCGTCCCCCTGAAGGGTTATTGGATCACTGAATATGTGTTAAAATAGAGTTTTATGCCCTGTAACTTTGTACCAAGTATTATAGCTCTATCTGCATTATTTTTTTAAAATATTCAACTGTCCAGGGACTTTTTTACCACCCTGTATAATATAAGGAAGTAAATTTGCAAATAAATAAGTTATGGGTGAAAAACAGATTTCGTACATTTAGCGTTAGCTAAGAATGCATAGCCTAACCATAGCTAGGAATCTGGCTGATAATTTACATCAATATCGCTACCTACTTCTTCAGGATCATCAATCAGCCCTTCAAAATCACTTAAATCTTCTTATAATGCACCACCTATATCACTACTTTTTATTTTTAACACTAAAACAATGATAAACATAATAAAACACATCAGTCATCGGTGCAAGGTTAAGTTGATTACAAATACGCACGTCAGCTGTCTGCTACAATATTTTCAGAACTAAAATGAAAAGCGTCTAGAAACAGAAATCAGGAGAAAGCTTAGAATCTGCCGAAAACAACGATACCAATCTCGATCCAGTTCAATCTGATTCAGTCAGTCTCAGAGCCTTCGCCGTAAACGATGTTTATGTGTTGCAAAAGCGACGCATAACACCACGGCGGGTGTGTTGTGCGTCGATTACACGACACTTAGCACTCGGAGGGTTAATTGTTTATTACTTTTAAAAGTATGATAAATTAAACAATAATTATCAGTATTTTTACCTTTTTGGTAGCTAAGGTGTCCAAAATTCTTATCTCCTGTGAGACGCGTTTCGCATTAATTACAATGCATCTTCAGTCGCTGTCACAGGTCTCAACATTGCCCACAGAAGTGGTTGTCACAATTTACAAAACATTTAACGCAGTTCACGAAACACATATTTATATACAGTTTTACGACCATGGTCACACACATACTGTACATCAAGCGAGCGGGAGAAGACACGCGATACCGCACAAGGTTGTAGGTCTACTCTTGAGTAGACCTACAAGAGTAGGCCTACAACCTTGTGCGGTATCGTGTGTCTTCTCCCGCTCGCTTGATGTACAGTACGTGTGTGACCATGGTCGTAAAACTGTATATAAATATGTGTTTGGTGAACTGTGTTAAATGTTTTGTAAATTGTGACAACCACTTCTGTGGGCAATGTTGAGACCTGTGACAGCGACTGAAGATGCATTGTAATTAATGCGAAACGCGTCTCGCAGGAAATAAGAATTTTGGACACCTTAGGCTACCAAAAAAGTAAAAATACTGATAATAAATAGGTGTCTGGGCTAATATCTACAAATAAACAATAATATTTAGTGGAACCCTCTAACTTTTATTTAAGGTATTTTTACTATTTAAATGAGGTTCTTTTCACTAAAAGACTCTTGATAATTCTAAATAATTATTATTTGGAGGGTCAAGCCAATAAATTTAAATTATCAAGGGGTTTGATTTATTGAGAGAAAAAGAAACCATTTTGAACTACAAAGAGTTAAATTTATTGATACAGAAGGTTACTTTTGTAATTTGTATGATGCCTTTGTTCAAGCGGCTGCATCTTTGACATTGCGTCAGAAATAGCTCAAGTTTCTTGTTCTACAAATGAGGAGCATTTCATTTAAAGTATTAAAGTATAATTAACGACTGGATGCATTTAAATCACCTGGGCTTTGCGGCTTTAACAATGAGCAAACACTGTCAACCAGACGATTCAACTACGGTTTTAGCTTAACACCGGAGCTACTGTGTCTAACAGGATCGATAGTTTCTTGTTATGGCTAGAATAAATCTATAAATCCACCTCCATCCCTTAAACTTATTGAGTTCTGCCAACAAAACTTTGAATTACTGTATTCAAAATCGACCTGCCCTATGCTTGGACTTTAAAATACTGAGTGTATCAAAACAAACGCACTGTCAAACTTTAGATATTTAAGAGATATACCGACTGAGCTTTCAATTTGAACTATAATAAGTGTTCTTTATCAAATGTTTGAAATACCGAGAGAGTGGACTGTATATACGTCAATAATCAAGATGTTGTAAATCAGGACGGTGTGTGGGAGGGATGAGGGAAAGCCTCCTAACAACACCGGAAGTCACACCATGTTGAAATGATTGTACAAAATGATAAAAGCGAGAAGGGGAAGGGTTCTTGAGTGCATGTGCATCCTACTCGCCATTGCAACTAAACACATTTGTACAAAGCCAAGCCACTCCAAAAAATTTGTCTGTTCAAAAATCAGTTTAACTTTTGTAAACTAAAACTTAACAGGATTGGTTCAAAAGTATAAATGAAATAAAGACCTGATAAAGATTGGATCAAATAAATGATTCATTTGGACTCAACAATAGTATATTATGTTACTAGTTCTGAAAATAGGTTTTTACCAGAGGAGTGTGGTCGTTCCCGTGCGAGACGATGTCGAGTATGGGATTACCACAAGAGTCCGGTAAACACATTTTGTACGAGTGACGTACGGTATTTTACACCACACTAATAAATCTGTACAAACTACAAATCCTTATATATTACCACCGACTTAAGGACTAACAACCACTAGTCATAACATCTAAGAGAGGTTATGTTTTTGTTTATAACCACTCATTGCTAAATACAGTATAATCAGCTGGTTGGTGCCCAGTATCATTACAGCACAGTAGTACGTAATGAAACCCCTTTTGATTAAGCTGGCGGCAAACAGCTGTTTTCTGGACTGTTTCCTTGCGTGGGAAGTTCGTCAAAACTGTGTAGTATGGCGTAAAATTATTATACACTAGACTAGACCTACCTTACTTAAAACCATCCTTTCCTTATCTGATTAATAATAGTTACAAGTTACAAGATTATTTTATAATTCATACTGTTAATTTTTAACTTTGTTTTGTAGGAACTATGGAAATAAAGAAGCAGCATTAATAGCTATGAGAGTAGGACTCGAACCTCAAACTCATTCTAGTTTACTCTAACTGTTTGACTCAGTCCAGTCCAGTTAATTTTACATCCAATGGTTAAATGTTGGGGTACTCATGATTTTGATGACTCATATTGTATTTGATCAGTAACCACTGTAACAAATGGCAACACTGTGCATTGCACAAGACTACTAATTAAAATTTCAAGTTCGACGGGTTAAATTTATTTTTTGATGGATGAGACTAAATGGCTACATCACAAACAGCCAAGCCTGCATTCAGCCGGTGGAACCGACATTTGACGACCGACCCATCACTAGTTTAAATCTTTATCCACTGGTTAAGTGTAAGAGAGGGCCATGTGGTCCTAAATTTGCCTGTATAAATAAAGAATGTTCATTTAATTTAATTTCAAATCAAGAGTGAATAGTGAGAAGTGAATAGGCCTAAGACATTCCCAAGATATGTGGACCATATTTGTGCTTAATTTTGGCTGTATCGGTTTAGTATTTTATTTTAGTTGTGACAGCTACCCAGACAGACAGACAGACACCACCTCAATTTTATAATAGTTTAAATTATACTAACAAATTGCATTGATGGTTCACAATTTAAAGAATCAGTCAGTTTAAATGTAATCAGAATACTAAATAAATGCAATGATGTATATACTGACTGGATCAGCAAGAATGATGACGGTGACTGAAGCCTTGCCTGGAGTGTCCAGCGTGATGAGAGGAGTTAAGATCTTGTTTCCTGTCTCTTTGATCTTCTTATCAATGACTGGTTGTTCAGCTTTTGGCACAGAGTATGCAATGCGTCCATACGCTGTTGCATGATCAACAGGCTTACCTGGAAAAAGATTGATTCTCTTAAATAACACATTTTATTAGACTAAAATAGTGATGAAACAAATTCATAAATCTTAAAGTTCTCAATAATTTTACAAACTCAGTACTTCTTAATATTTTAAAAATATTTCTCACCGATATCCTTGAATTCCAGTTTAGCCTGAGATTCTGCAAAAGCAAGAAGAGCCTTGTCATTTTCCTTAGAGAAAATCTTGAGTCCAAGGATCTCATTCCAATAAGCCAGAGTGCGAGCAAGGTTTGAGCTGGAGAGGGTAACTTTTTCAACTGGATCTGTAATAATAGTTTTCAGTCAAAGAAACTGCAATGGTTTGTGTTGGCCACTAATCTAGGGTTTGAACCATAACCCATTGGGCCCTTAGAAAAATGTTATAAAAGGCCTCTAACAACTTTAATGTTGTCAAATGGCTCTAAGTGAGTCGCAATACACAAAAAAACCATAAAAATTTAAATAAATCGTAAAGGGAGAAAATTAAAAAGAATTAATCGTCTTGATAATTAGTGCTGCAAATATGCCAAACTAGCTGAGTACCCGTCCCTCGTACGGGGTTGGTATACAATGCTTATTGTAGTTAAATATGCCCTACTCGTGCTTTGCATTTGCAATGAGAGAGGACACGTTTTGAGAAAATTTGGTTTACTATAATCTACGGTGTACTATAGTATATAGAATATCTACCATAGCCATAATGTTTTACCACTTTACCTAAACAATAGAAAGAAGTAAAGTTCTCACACTCAGGTTTTTGTTGCTGCTTGGTTCAAATTAGCTGTTGTCATAAATGTATAAAGAACTAATGGTGGTGCACCCTGTTGGTAAACCATATAACCTTTTAATGCTATTGAATATCATAGAAACAAATTGTGTAGTTGAAACAGCTGGCAAAATTATTTAATTCCTATTAAATATGAATACTCATAAGGTTAACATGGGAAACTCTAGAGCCGCTGGGGCGGAGCCCGAAAGGATTTTTGAGGTGAGAATATGTCTATATGTTAATCGGGAATGAGAGCTATCATCATACCAAATTTCAACACAATCCGACCAGTAGTTCATGCGTGATTGAACTTCAAACAAAGAAACAAACAAACAAACAAACACACAAACTTTCACATTTATAATATTAGTATGATGTATAATTATTTATTATTGTGTTATTTATATGATGTATAATTATTTATTTATTTGTATTGTATTTATTATTGTTGTTATTATTTGTTATTGTATTTGTTATTTATTTGTTATTTGTTATTGTAATTATGTATTATTGTTGTTTGATGTTGTTTAATTATTGTCTTGACACAATTCACGTAGGTATAGAAATGTACAGAATGTAAAGTTTAGAATTGACCATTCAAAGTCAATTCCGATACCCGACTCGTCTGCGAATATCCACCATATCGGAAAATTACGGCCCTAATGCCTGTCTCATCATCACGGGTGCAATGAGCAGCTGCCAGGGAGCCTCACTGGACTACCTTCTCAACCTTACTCCTATTGACCTGCATTTTAAAGTCACTGCGAGGAAGACGGCCTACAAAATCGAGCGTACCTTCGGTTGGATGTTGGAAGATTCTGAGGTCACTCACTCTTGGATCACTCAGATCGTAAGAGGGAGGTAAAACAAGCGACCAAAGAATAACATCGACTGGCAATCCCTATCCCCAAAGCATTACCGGAGATAAAGCTGTTTCCCGACGTTTCCCGAGCTGTTTCATGGCGTATTCACCTGAGCCACTGTGCGCTACTGTCACAAAATTTAATTTCAGGGCGGCTGGTCGGCGATCGCCGAGGGCCTCCGGCTGAAGGGGGCCTACAAAAGCCAAAAAAAAACAAGTCAACAAAATTTTTTTAATAAAAAAAATTTAGTTTTACTGATTCACAGCGACGTAGGCCTAGTCTTGCAAAAACAATTTTTAATAAACAATAAGTTTTTTTATTGATTATTACAGTTAAGGGTAGCCCCTAAGTACAGTGATAGTCACTCGGTACTAGAGGAAGAGGATAGTCGCCGATCTCACTACACCGCACTGTTCGAATCAGCTCAGCTCCCAGTGCTCCGTGACCCGACATTGCCGTGCCGGCTTGTCTGCCTGGGTTACTCAAGCAGACAGCTTAGCACTTGAACTAGTAGTGATGGGACAACCGACTTAAAAAAACTATCGACTAGTCAATCGATTATTTTTAAAACCAGTCGTTGTTTCAGTCGAATGAAAACCTGAGTGAATTCTACGATTCCACTACAACAACAACTGGTGGCGTTCAATCGGTGCAGTGGTTTCAGTCATTGCAAAGAAAATTATTGAATATAATTTAACTTTAAACATTGGAGTTTTTGCGCTTCATTCCTATTGTTTGTTGTTATTCCCATTAATATTTTATTACTTTGTTATAAAACGTAATGGAATGACAACATTTACAATTAATTTAATGAATAACTTCTTGATTGATTTTTCAGGTAATTAATTTAAACATTTTTAGTTTATTACATGACTGCAAGATTTAAATTATTCAGTAGGCCTAATGTCTCTAACTCAGTATAACAAATATTCCTATTTATTCGTTAGCTGGTCTTTAAACAGATTTTACTACAGGCATTAACATCTAAATCATGAGTATATAAAACACAATGAATTGGCTTGGCAATTTTATATTTTTTTAACAACAAAAATACATACATTTACATTTTATGTATCATCCCTAAAAACTGTTCCCAATTTTTTACGTCAGTATACGTCAGTTTATCTACAACTGATTTCATTCGACCAGTCAGCATCAACACTAAAAGGTCGAGTATGGTGCTTACGACTACATAGTTTCAATCACCGACGTGTGACTGTTCCAGTCATTCCTACGTTGTGGGTTATGACGTCTTGTTTAAAAGAGTAATTACACGTGAATCGTTCAGTTAATAAAATTAAACGTGTGCACACAAGTGGCGCAAGTAAAATAAAAATGAATAGGACTTTTTTTAAAAATAGCAACAAATTAAAGTCAAAAAGTTTGAACTTATTGTTAGCTGGTTTCAGTTCCGATTCTGCTAACAATCCTTGCAAACAGGTAGGCGGAAATATCAGAAGTTTTTTTGTAAAACTTAACTATTTTACTTAACTTAAGCTATGGTTCCACAGGATGCGGAATCTCCGCCATGCGGTGCGTAATTTTTCGCAGCGGAAAATTACGCAGCGAAAAATCTAGAGGGGTGGTTCTACAGACTGCGAAAATAACGTTGCGGAGATTCAGTTCTGTCCAAACTAGCGACGAGTATGGATAGAAAGAGGAAAGCCCTTTTGGCTTTGATGCTATATGGTGCCATTGATGATGATGTTGTCGATCTTTTATCTTTGTTAGCGTCATGTCACAGTGATCGAAGTGACATATTTAAGAATCGAGACAGTGAAGGGGCCTATTTTTGCTATTTATTTAACAAAACTTAAGGCGTTGCAATCACGAGATCCCGTTTAACACTTGATACCCAAACATCTCAGGATAATTGTTCGTCAGGTCTAACATTTTCGACCGTTTATGTTAAATGTATTATAATAATTTATAACAGTAAGTTTGTTGAAAATCGGTGTTGCGATTATAGGTGTTACTTTATAATCGTTCATCTATATCTCTTTTTACAGCACAAAACATAATAAAACTGCACGATCGCAATATTTGATGGCTCTTCTCCGCTGGCGGAATCCGCACTGCTACTACTCTCAGACCAGTATGATTTCTCCGCCATGCGGAACGGAAATTTCGGGATGCGGAATCGCAAGTCAGTGGAACTGCATACATGGGAACTCCATTAAACCAGTGTCGTTTTAATTCCGCAGCGGAAAAAATCGCACCGCACGGCGGAGATTCCGCATCCTGTGGAACCAGGCCTTTAGAATACTTTTGATTGTTTATGTTTGTGTTTGTTGCCTAAGTACAATTATGGAGTAAAATGTGTGATAAACAGTAAATGCGCTTTATTCATAGATGTATTCAAAATTCAGAAGTGTTACGTGATATGCTTTTTGACCATGTATGGCAAAAACTCCAAGAACTAGGTTGTGGTCTTATTTTTAAATTGCAGACTTAAAACAATTTTAAGAATTGGCCTTTTCATTTTACGGCAGCTATGAGTATAGAGAGGTTCTATATATACAGAGGTAAATAGAACTACGAACAAATTTTATATAACATTTAAATTTATTGATACCTTGAAATTAGATTTATAAATACAACAATTTTAATTTATGGAAATTTATTGATGTTTATAAATAAATTTTAAACAATACCGCAACGATACCAAACCGTATCGTTGCGGTATTGGTGTTCCCTCAAAGTAACGTTAGCAGTTCAGTCTAGCTCAGTCCGCCGAGCTGATAAGACGTTATCTACATTGCTCCCGTCGTGTACAGGTCTACTGGACGCGACACGCCATTTAACCTAGACAGTGTTTTACTATTTATACGTGTCTATTGAGCTATTAATGAAAACAATTTTTACTTAATTATGTCGTCGAACTGTGGCATCTGTGGTGTATCGATCGAGAACAGTGAAAGTGAACAGAACATCAAGTGTACCGGTGTTTGTGGTAATTTCTTCCATTCTCGCTGTGCTCAAGATGATCTGGTTGGTGCTAAGACGCGATCTCTACGAGACTGGAAATGCAAAAAGTGTCGTCCTTCACTATCAGCTACATCGGAGGTTAGTGCGGATGGCACGAAAGAGCTGTTACAAGCACTGGAAGATTTCAAACAAAAGGTCTTCATGGAGTTGAAATCTACTAGAAACGATATAAGTGAACTTAAGGAATCTTTAAATTTTGTATCAAACATGATGGATGATTCAAACAAACTAATGACGGAAATAAAAGGAGAACTAGCTACATTGAAGAAGGAAAATGATGATCTCCGCAAAGAAAATGCAACCCTTACTGTGGAAGTGACCTCTTTGAAAGACAGAGTCCGCTCACTGGAACAATATTCCAGGAAAAACAACGTTGAGATAAGCGGGATCCCTCAAACTCCAAATGAAGATGTGGTTAAGTTGGTAAAAGATGTTGGAGCTGCTCTGGGAATCGACATCCAGGAAGGTGACATATCGATTGCACACCGTGTTCCATCCTTCAAAAAAGAACGCACGCAGCCACTTATCGTCCAGTTCTCCAGGAGGACATCTCGTGAAACCTTGCTGAAAAGTTTTAGGGAGAAGAAGACGATGACAGCCAAAGAAATCCATGCAGCCTTCCCAGCCCGGAGCGTCTACGTCAACGAACACCTCTCTCCAGAAAATAAACAATTTCTGTCAAAGCTTAAAGAAAAGTGTAAAGAAGTCGGATACAAGTATGCGTGGTGCAGAGAAGGTAAATTCTTCGTACGGAAGTGTGACAATGATCGCTGCCTCAGAGTGGACACCTACGAGGAACTTGAGAAACTTAAATAACATGTAAGTCAACATGAGTCAACCTACACTATTTTTGTCCAATAAAAAATATATATATAATGTTTGTTATCTCTTTATTGTTATTATCTTTATATATTCTATGAAATGTTTATTTTTATCTCAGGTTCTATTTACTTCTCTGTCATCAAGGAGTGTGACAGTTGTTTATCTTTATAAAACCGTACATATAAACAATTTATTTTTAGAGTTAAAAATGCATACTGTTTAAATGAATCATCACATACTGAAACACAATTCTCAATCTGAAATACAGGATTTCTTTTTGCCTGGGAACGCTACAAAAGAATTTAATTTAATATATACTAATATAAGGAGCTTGAGAAAAAATTTCAATAGCTTCATTGCTGAAATAAGTAGTATAAAACACAAAATACATTTCATTGTCCTTAGTGAAATTTGGATTGACAGTAATGAAGCAAATTTATATAGCATACCAGGATATAACCTTTTTACCTCATGCAACGATGAATACAGAGCTGGAGGTGTTTTGTGTTTTGTTGACAAATCAATAGAAAGTAAGGATGTAAAGTTGTCTTTTAACCCAAGATCAGCTGATATCTTATTGCTGGATATAGTCCAGTCAAGGAATGAGGTGTAGAGTGCGTGAGCAGGTAACTAAGCGATTCCTTCAGAAACTTGTTCAGGGGGCTTAAGGTGTTAACATACCAAAAGTCCTGACTCCTAGGTGGTGAGCCAGGGGGTGGAGAGGGGAAAAAGGGGGGGGAGAAAGGTACGAATTTTGGGTTTTTGACTATATCTCAAAAACTATCAACTTTTTGTATACTATAGTAAATTATAAAATTGAAGAAGATTAAATTTTCTACAAGAAAAGTACATAATGTGTTTGTTTTGGTTCAACAGATTACGAGTTATAACTTATTTAATTGATATCTTATTAAAATCTTCTTCCATAAGAAATACATGTAAATTAGTATGCGAAATGGGGCGAATCCTATCCGCCCAAAGGAAATATAAATGATATTCTGGAAATCTTGACAAAATTTCCAGTAATTTGACACTTTAATCATTAAAATTGATCCAAAATTAAGGCGAGGGCGAGGTAACAAAATTTTGAGTTTTGGTGTTTTTTTATTGGAAATATAAAAAAAACCTTAAATCATCCCATTTTTAAACACTCACCCTCGCTTTAATTTTTGACAAAATTTCATGATTAAAGTGTCAAATTACTGGAAATTTTGTCAATATTTCCAGAATATCAGTTATATTTACTTTGGGCGGATAGGATTCGCCCCATTTCGCATACTAATTTACATGTATTTCTTATGGAAGGAGTATTTTAATAAGATATCAATTAAATAAGTTATAACTCGTAATCTGTTGAACCAAAATAAACACATTATATACTTT